AATACTATTATAAACATATAAAAATAATTTTATAGATAATGTAATTATAAAATACAGATACTATTTTAAATTTATTTAGGTACAAGTGGGGCTGAAAGTCCCGCTTATATACATAGTGCCCAGGGTATAACTGATTTATGCCCTGCGATCTTGATATAGTGACCAGGGTATAATAAAGTGTAAACCCTAAGAATTAGAGCTCCAGTCCACAAAACGACGCCGTTTTTCTAGTATTACGTTATCACGATCATTTTTTTATAATATAATATTGGTTTATTTTATTTATCATATACTGTATAATTTTTTATTCTGATAAAATTTTTACAGGGGATATGATTGTTCAAAATCGATTTAAATAATTACAGGGGTGGGAGCCGGACATCGACTCATAGAAAGGTCTTACACTCCGCTTCCCTCCGTCCAGCCCAATAATGAAATAATAATTTGCTAAACCAACTTTTATACAGTTAAACTATCTACATTCAATTAAAAGGTTAAAAAAAAAAGTTACTTAACATCCGGAAATAACTTTCATACATTGAAAGTAATCATGCCAATATTGAGATAACTTCACCCAACGGTTAAAAAAATATAGATAATAACTTTGTTAAAGTTTGGACCGGTTTATTTTTCATACGTTAAACCCGATTAAAACCAGCTTTAGAATATGAAAAGTAAACCAGGATCCAAACTCTAAACTGGGTATAAAATTTAATGATGACATTTTTAGCCAATCACAGGTTATACGTGATTATGATGCATGAAAAAACTGTAAGGAAAATTGATTATAGATTAAATTATCATAACGAGTTGACGTTCTCCACAATTTTGATTCTGATTGCATGTTGTACAGTAATCTAGTAATTTTCACGATACACTCTTGCTGTGTACGAGATAAGCAGTAAGGTTGTATGTCACAACTACTATCATGTCAGATGACTATTAATAAGATAGTGGATTTGGACTCAAATTTTTTAACGTGTGTGCTATATATAATACACATATAGGTTTCGTGATATTAAAAAGAAAATAAATTGCACGGATGCCACTAATTGCATAATATACAAATAAAATATTCCTATTTATAATACGTAAAAAAATCCAATAAATTGTTAAATTAAAGAATTTCATAAAGCTCTAATGAAATAGTAATCTAAAAAAATTCTTTAGTTAACTTCAAACTCAGTATGTCGTGTACTTATTACGTGGCATTAGGAATTGTTTGATATCTTTTCCGACTTATGATTTTACGTGTAAAAAAGCCACCTGCTAATATTATAATACCAAGAAAGAGACCTATACTTAAATCAAAAAATATATTTGGACATTTATCATCAATACTTTTCGTTGGATCTTCACCCTGAGTTTAGAAATATTCGTAAGAAATCTTAATCTAAAATTATGCATAAATGCCAACAAAATAAAATTTACCGAATAGTCCATTAATACTTCATCGTGAGATAGACGGAAATTATAATAACGAAAATTGCTAATTTTTTAAAAGATAAGCGATAATTAAAATTCTAAATCAATAAAATTTGATTGATTAAATTCCACTTTTACCTAATATGGCCATTAAATCCATTATTTTCATTTAAAATAGGTTGTTTTCCAATATATAATGATCCGTCATTGAATATGAAAGATTGACTTTGAACAATTGGGATACTGTAAGATCCTATCCATTTACCATCTATATAGAAATTCATTCGTTTTTCAGATTCTGAAAGCGTGTATGCTATATGATACCAACGGTTCATAACCGTAAATATTTATTCCGCCATCAATAACACCATTAACCGTGAAACGTGGAGCTGGCATTGAGTTAATCGATGATAGAAATAATGCAGGTGTACGACTGGAATCCACTATAGCTGAATATAAAAAATTTTAATACAATTGAAGAATTTTTTAATATGCAATTAACTGTTAATAGTCAAATGTAGATACCTTTATAAAAAACACTGCACCATGGACCAAGAGGTGCGTGGCTCAAAAGATTTATTTTTAGCGTAATTGATAACTCATCTTTTACAGCAGGTAACTCAAAATGGCTAATAACTCGATTATATTCGGGTGTGAATAAGACTGATTCTGTTATTAATTCACGGTATGTTCTTTGTTCATGTTTCTTACAAAAAACTGGAATTGAAGTAATGACGATTATTATCACTAAATAATGGAAATAATAGTAATTCATTTTCATCTGTTAATTCTCGTATGTAAAAATAACTTTTCTTGAAAAATTATTTTTGCAATTTTAATAAACGTGCTGTATATACGTACATACTGTATATATATGCGCACGTACGGAGAAGGAAACAATCACTTTCTTTTTAGAACAGACGGGTACTAAAGATAAGCCAAATTTGTCATACTTATTTATTTCTGTAATATATACATGAATAGTTATACGATACAATTTTATTCTTGGCGTACTTTTTCTATGCAAAAAGTTCTATATAGAGATGTTGAGTTTTTAGATTTCCCGCATACATACACATATACGTATGTACTAGGTATGCAATACAATGATTTTACGTAGCTAGTTATGACAATCGTTGGGACGATTCAGTCGTACAGTAAAATTTAAGTTTTCAAAAAGTTATAAATCTATATAGTAGTCAGTATGTTTATTTAATCTGCGATAAATAGTTTGAAATAATTTTTATAAAAGTTTGTATTGCCTTTTTTTTTAGCAAGGTAAATATAAGCAATTCTTTGAATATAAATAAATAATTTTATGTGAGGCTGGTTAAAACTGCAATCTAATTATTTTTTTTTTAATAAAACTTGTATTGTATATAATATATTCAGCAGTAATAGAATAAGCAATTTCAACCAAATTATAGAGAAAAGGAGGTCAAACTAAGCAAATTATAAGAATAATGATAAAGTTTAATGTATGTTAATAAACCTTTTTAATACTAACACTATTATTGATATTCTTACTTTATTTGTCTTCTGTACTGTATATTGTAATTAGATAAATATATTGATAACAAGCTCTAGATGTATTTAATAAGTATGCAAATAAGCAATAAGAGCAACTGTATTGATATTTTTTTATTACGATATTATTATTTTTATACTTGATATTTGATAAATTACTTTGAATTAATAAAACTGACTATCTTTATTTTAATCCCTTATTACATTTAACATAATCTTTGTGAAAATAATATCACTATTCATGCTATTGATTTTTATATATAATGTTATAGAAAACTAATATTACTTTGATCACTAGAAAATTTGCAGAAAGCTTGAGGACACCGATTTCATTTCCAGAGAAATTGGTCATGAGAAATTTTATTTAACTTTAATCATATGATTAATCTACAAATATGGCTATTTATTAATTGAATACAAGCTATTTTATCTTATTTATCTAGAAAAAGTTATTTAAAATAAGATAAATGAAATAATATGCTAGAAAAATAAGACTAAAAAATATACGCAATTTTTGAAACAATATATTATATTTATAAATATCAAATAGATACGATTAGGAATCAAACTCATATTTTCCTTAGGGAATTGCTATTCGTACCCCCAAATTTGCTAGCTATACCCCCCATACAAATTAAAGTTTTTTTGAACTTTGAGCGAAGATAACTCGACAACCACCAAGTTAAATTCGACAAACTT